TAGGAAAGTACTTGCACCAGGTTGCTTCGGACAGCGGGTTCAAGTACATATGCCCCTCGTAAGAGGCTATATGTTCCTTCGGATCTGAAGTCCCATCGTAGGTGATGTGCGCTGGGATCTTCACTGTCGGCACTTTTTCTTCTAGGTCTACGAGACAAATGGAGTCCTGGAAGACGTCATTACTGTCTTTCCCTTGGTCCTAGCCGTTGGGATCTCGCTTCCCCCCCTCTGGGAGGTGGAAGTGGTTTTCATCCTCGGCTGGGACTATGCTGGGTTAGGTTGACTTTCGTGAGGGTATGTCAGGCGGCTGTGAATGCTCACCTCCTCGAGCCGACACATTCGTGAACGTTTCGGCGGACAGTTTCAGGCCCTGCGGACGAGGTGTTACTGCTTCTAAAGCTTCGGGCTTCGGATTCCTCGAACAACTGGGGGTTTCTTTTTTTTCCCTCTTAGTCCTCCAAGTGTCCTCTTCCTAATGCTCCCGAAGTTCTTTATGGGAGGGAGCATGTCCTCCATCCTCTAGGCCTATCCTGTCAGCATGCACCGAGGAGATGGGAGGTGGGACTTGTTGATTTGCTTGGGCCTTCATGAAGTCCATGAAGACCGCAAGAGCTTTTGCCACCTCTTTTGATGTGGGACCCGTTTGGGGTGTCCCCTTCGGATGAGACTGTGAGTAGCGGCTAGGAGTTGGACTCTTAGCATTCTAATGGCTTGGCCGGCGAGAGCTCGATGGCTGACCGGTGTTATGAGATGGTCTTTCAAGCGAGGCTTTCTCAGATGAGGCAGCCTCTGAAGATGACGAAGAAGGGGCGCCCTTCTTCGCGGCCGAGGAGAACGATTACTCTTCCTTGCACTCTTAATCATGTTGTTAAGTAAGTTGATTTTTTGGCTTGTTTTGATTGTCTTCCCCATAGACGGCGCCAAATTGTTTCAAGTATAAACAATAGGTCCTTCGGCTGGACCTTTTTCGGTGGGCTGAAGACTGGACTCAGCCCAAGTGATGACTGGGATGAGGATTTCGTGCACAGCAAACACACGTAAATTAGCCTCGTGGGTTGTGCCGAGGAAGGCCCCTCCAATGCCGAAATCAGTACAGTGTATTTCTAGATAGAGAAAGCTATGCAAGAGTATTAATTGCTTGAGGCTTAATGTAGATGAATTGAGAGAAAGGAGAGTCAAGGCTTTTGTACCCTATTCTTGAGAGGATAATAGGCTCTTTAGTCCCATGGGCTTGCCATGTGGACTGAGCCGCTTATGACTAACTTGGCATGCTTAAGGAGAGTTGAACCTTGAGCCTTAATTGAATCATTTGTGGGCCGACCCAATTGAAGTAAATTGGACCCAAACAATAAGAAAGCTTAATTAGCTAAGAACAGTTCAGTGAAACATTCAGTTGAATTTTATCACCAAATCTTTAATTACTGGTAAAAAATTGTATACTTTTCCATTCCCCATAGTATAATTTACCCAAAATCTTTAACAAATTAGTTACAGTTGAATTAAAATGGAGAAACTCAACACAATTACAACAACCAATTAATTAATTGTGTACCCAAACATAGAAATTTTTCAAGAAATCCCAACAAAATGCAACCATAACCATTTTTTCCCAAAAAAAAATTTTTTAAAAAAAAATACCCATTTATGAGCCAATATATATATCTATTCAAATTCCCACAAAAAAAATGGTAAATTGAAAATTTTATAACTTACAAAAGCAGGAAGTAGAATGATCGGAGAAGCAGTGTTTGGGTGGGCGGTTTGTGAGTTGTGAGCGGTGTGCGTGGGTGGGGAAATGAGAGAATGTTCGAAAAGGGGTAGTGGTCACTAGGAAGTGGTCTTCTTCAACTCTTCTCTTTGCCGCCAAGTTATGCTGTTAGTACTAATTTAATACTCTTAATAACAATTTACTTCATATTTTTTCCGTCAATAAAGAGTCATAAAATGCAATGACGCTAACAAAATTTGATGACGGGTTAACAAAATTTGATCATGAGTTTTGAGTGCCACAGTGGTGTATAGAGAGTCAAAACTCACATAAGCAGTGGATAAATAATTTCCAAAATTACTTCATATAAATAATGTTTACGCTGTATTTTGTTATAAAAATAATACACTACAACATAAGGGGATGATTAAATTGGGTTACACAACTTTTTAAACGCCGATGATCAAATGAGTTTACCTTGACGGATAAAAAGTTTCCGCAATGTAAAAATAGGGTTAACCTATAACAGGTGGAGTTATTAATTTGGTAGTCAAAATAAAAGAAGATATGTGACTCGAATGAACAAATGAGGTTACTTTTTTTTTTTTTAATTGTAGTAATTGATGTTACTTATAGAATAAATTGGGATTATTCTTATGGGCAACTTAAGGTTACCCACATCCACACAAATAATTAAAATTACTCTTACTAACGAATAATGAATATTCTTATAAACTAATAACGAATAAATAAAGGGTTTTAATTGTAGTAATTGATGTTACTTATAGAATAAATTTGGATTACTCTTATGGGCAACTTAAGGTTACCCACATCCACACGAATAATTAAAATTACTCTTACTAACGAAAAATGAATATTCTTATAAACTAATAACGAATAAATAAAGGGTAAGAAAAAAAACTATTAAAAAAATAAAATAAAATTTTTTGAATGACTAATTAATGGGAGTAGTTGAGGATTAAGGAGTGGAAGGATGGTTAATCCATCCATCTCCCCCCACCCTCGAGTGACGGGAGTTCGATCCTCATCCCCCTTCTTGTGATAAAAGGGGGTTCCTTGTATCTTACCGTTTCAAAAAAGAATAATATTATGAGTATTTCATTGTATGTGTTTTTTTTTTCATTCTTTATTTTTTAAAAAAAATTATTTAAAGTTTATAATTGTGGAAGTGAGACAACACTCATCAATCAATCAATCAATCAATCAAAGCCTTAATCCCATAAGTGGGGTCGGCTACATGAACCAAATTTGATTATTCCGTGTGGTCATCCACAAAAATCTTCCTCCTCCTTCCCTTACGATCCAATGCTTCATCCTCATGCAAATCCATATACTTCATATCCTTTCTAACTCCTTCCAACCAAATCATTTTCGGTCTCCCTCGTTTAACCCCTCCATGGTCCCACTCTTCCACTCTTCGAACAGGTGCACTCTCAGGTCTTCGTCTTACATGCCAAACCAACGCAGGCGAATTTCCCTTATTTTGCCTACAATGCCTGCCATGCCTACTTTCTTGCGAATAACCTCATTTCTGATCCTATCTCTTAGAGTGTTCCCGCACATCCACCTTAACATGCGCATTTCTGTAACCTCCATCTTCTTAATGTGCTCCTTGTTAAAAGCCTAATATTCAATACCATAGAGCAACACTGGTCTTATGGCAATCTTGTAGAATTTTCCCTTCAACTGTAAGGGAATGCTTTGGTCACATAGCACTCCTAAGGCCGCTCTCCATTTAAGCCACCCCAACTTATTCTTGTGGGCCACGTCTTGATCAATGTCTCCATTTTTCTGGATGATCGATCCAAGATACTTAAAACATTCATTTATAGTCAATTCCTTTCCATCCAAACTTACCACTTCATCACTTGTCCCCCCTAAGTACCAAAGTGACATAACAAATATTCAGTCTTACTCTAACTTAGCTTAAACCCTTTAGATTCCAACCTTTACCTCCATTGCTCCAAGTTGGAATTAACCCCGTCTATAGTTTCATCCACCAAAACAATATCATCCGCAAACAACATACACCATGGAACCTCATCTTGATTTGGTCTAGTTACTTCATCTAGAACCGTTGCAAAAAGGAAAGGTCTTAATGCAGACCCTTGATGCAATCCAATTGTAATAGGAAAATCTTTTGTCAACCCTCCACACGTCCACACATTTGTTGACACATCCCAATACATATCCTTAACCAAATCCACGTACCTTCTTGGGATACCTTTCTTCAATATTGCCCACCAAAGTACCTCTCTTGGAACCTTGTCATATGCCTTCTCTAAATCAATAAAGACCATATGAAGATCCTTCTTCTTTACCCGATAAAACTCCATCATTTGTCTTATCAAATGGATTGCTTCCACAGTAGATCTGCCAGGCATAAAACCAAATTGGTTATCCGAAATGCTAGTGCATGCCCTCAACCTATGTTTAATCACTCTTTCCCACAACTTTATAGTGTGGCTCATAAGCTTGATCCCTCGATAGTTAGAACAATCTTGAGCGTCTCCTTTATTTTTATAAACCGAGACCAAGGTGCTCTTCCTCCAATCTTGCAGGATCCTTGTAACCCTCCATATCTTGTTAAAGAGGTATGTTAACCAATCAATACCAATCTTACCCAAACATCTCCACACCTCTATCGGTATACCATCAGGGTCAATCGTCTTCTTAGGCTTCATCTTCTTTAGTGCAATCTCCACCTCAACTCTTCTAATTCTCCGCACGTATTCCATGTTGATTTCTTCATCACTCACGGAGGTATCTCCTGTCACAACTCCATTACTTCCATTAAAAAATTTGTCGAAGTACCCCTTCCACCTGTCCTTGATGTCCTCCTCTTGCACTAGGACCATTTGGTTCTTATCTTTGACACACTTTACCAAGCCAATATCCTTCCTTTCCTCTTGTCTTCTTTTTGCAATCTTATAAATGATCTTTTCTCCCTCCTTGGAGTCAAGCTTTTCATAAACCTTCTGATAAGCCTTTTCTTTCACTTATCGAACCGCTACCTTTTCCTTTCTCTTAGCCTCCATATACGCTGCAAAGGTTTCGTCACTCCTATATTTTCCCAAGGCTTGATATCATTCCCTTTTTGCTTAATTACTACTTTCACCTCTTCATTCCACCACGATGTATCTTTCTGCATCGAAGTTCTTCCTCTTGATTCCCCTAAGACCTCTTTGGCCACTCTCAGGAAACAGTTCTTCATTCGTAACCAAGTCATGTGGAGATCGACCTCTCCATCCCAATCTGCCTCCTTGATTACCTATTCTGTAAAGACCTTAGCATTTGCATCCCTAAATGTCCACCATCTTATCCTTTGCTCCTCTGGTCTTCCTTTTTTATTTGCCTTCTCTTTCAAACGAATAGTCATAACCAAAAGCCGGTGTTGGGTGACCACACTCTCTCCTGGGATGACCTTGCAATTTAAGCAACTTTGTCTATCCGCGCTCCTTGTGAGCAGGAAGTCTATTTGTGTTGCATTTGCTCCACTCCAGAAAGTTATCAAGTGTGAATCCCGCTTCTTAAACCAAGTATTAGCTAAAAATAAATCATATGACTGGGAAAAATCCATAATAGCTTCACCACTTGCGTCCCTCTGCCCATACCCAAAGCCTCCATGAACACTCTCGTAGCCATCTCGGCTCGCCCCAACATGCCCATTTAAATCGCCTCCAATATGTACTTTCTTTGTGTGGTGGACACCCTATACCACCTCGTCTAAATCCTCCCAAAATTGTCGTTTCTCTTCTGAATCCAAACCAACTTGGGGAGCATAAGCACTAATAACATTCACAATCTCCTTGCCACATAGCAACTTCACCCTTATCAACCTATCATTCTTCCGATAGACCTCGATTACCTCTTTCGACAACCTCTCATCAAGGATCATACCAACTCCATTCCTAGCTCCACCATTCCTAGTCATGTGGCTCGTTTCTTGTCCAACGTACCACACCTTATACCCCATAACCAAGCCTTGAGCTCCTTCTCCTGTCCACCTTGTCTCTTGGAGGCACAAGATGTTTACACGTCTTCTCTTCATCACTTCTATCTACCACTTCTGCTGATTTCCCCGTAAGAGACCCCACATTCCAAGAACCAATCCGCAAACTAAAGTCATTTCTCCCACGCTCCCTCATACCCCGCACACTTGTACCACGCTCCATCCAGTCCCTAGCTACAAGCCCTTGACCATTTGACACCACACTTGGGCAATGTGGCGCGTCGTTTTCAAGCGAGGACCTAGCAACCCTTGCATACTTATCACTGCACTCTGGGAAATGTAGCGCGTCGCTCAGTAGAGAACGCCCCAATGGCACGCCCTTGCTCATTTGACACCACACTCGGGCAATGTGGCACGTCGCTTCCGAGCGACGACCTAGTAACCTTTGCATACTTAACACTCATGAAGAAAAAAAAAAAAAACCCTTAACAATTGAGTGTCATGTCATGAGGCATGATAGGTCACTACCACATATGGACTACACCAAGGGGCAAAAACAGTATAAAATCAATAATAACAGTATAATAAAAAAAATACGATCCTTCCCTCTTTCTCCTTCGAAAATCTCACTAGAATAATAACATTATAAAATCTAATAAGTTGGAATTATTAAAGTCAATTTTTTCAAATAAGAAACCGAGATTTATTTTATAATTGCCAAATCATCATTATATTACTCCCTCCGTCCCTAAAAGAAAGACCATTTTGGCCAAATTTTAGTCCCAAAATGTTCATACCATTTGCATTTAATTACCCTTCAATTTGCAATAATATTTGTGCAAAATTAGCTTCCCCGTGTAAATTTTGTTTTTTCTATGTACTTTTGTTACTTTCTCTCTCTACTTTTTTGCAAATTCCATATAAATGTCCCTTTTCAATGTACTTTTATTAGCTTCAATTCCCCATACACTTGTACTTTCAACTTAAATTTCTTAATACCCGTGAAAACTCTCCAAAAAAATTCGTTCTTTTAGGGACGAAAGGAGTATAAATATTTATAATATTTTATTATTAGGAGATTCCACCCAAAACTCATAGCCTCATAGGTATAGCCGTCAAAATAAAGAATATGCACAATCTAGTCATAAATTTGGTTCCTTGTTAAAACCAAGTTGAGCATAAACTAAAACATAGTAATTAATTAACCAAAAGAAGAGTTAGGGACCATTACTCCACAAGTATGATCTTGATTTATAGGTCGGATCGCCACATTCTCTCCAAATATTATTTCATTTTGTTCATTTATTTAGGGGCCTTTAAAATTTTGATTTACTAAAAATCTTTCTAAAGCCTAACTTTAGGTCTCTCTTTTCATTACATCATCATCATCATATTCTAACGTTAATCTTAAATGTTTTTAGCATGGCGTAAGTTGGATGTAAACACAAGTGTATTTCCTTTTATATTGCGAATCACACATACGTATTCCCATTTTAAATTCAAAAGAATGTGGATTTAAATTGGTCATTACCTACAACTCTACAGGGTTTAATTTGTTGTTGTGGCATCATTTTTCACTAACATTTCTAAATATAATTTTTGGTAAAGAAGAGTTGTAAACCAAACAATTATTATTATTAGTACTTTAATTATTTTGTTTATTATGTAAGTCGTTGTATATGATGTTTTCACCTAAATTTGTAGTTGCCACTAGGAAAATAGCAACACCAACATCAAAAGTAAATTGAATTGGGTGTTTTTGGACATACACTTAGATCTTCACTTCGATTAATTCTACCTTATCCATTTTTTATCCCTCTACGTTTACGTAATAGCTTAAAAAAACATTCAGATGAAAGGTGCCACATCATCGAATGAATAATTTTACATAATTTTTCTATGAACTTTTCCAACCCTATCTTTATAAGTTCTACAATTGTTTTACTTGCCAAACTATTCTTTAAGCCTATATATTAATAATCGATTATTATTTAAAAAACATATTATATGGGGGTTATATCGGCAATGTTCTATATTAACACAGAAAGATAATTATATGCCATTTGAGAACTTTTATACTCAAGTCCCAATACATTACAAACATACACAATTCTACGTATAGTCATCTTGAACCACATACACATATTGAACCATATCTACATTTATTATCAATGCGGGTTTCTTCCAATCAGCTTGAAGGTTCAATAATATTGGACAAAAGACAATTACTGACATTTATTATCGATGCGGGTTTCTTCGAATCAGCTTGAGGGTTCAATAATTATTGAACAAAAGACAATTACTGACCCTGAATTGATACCTGAAACACATGCATTAACTTGTATAATATTATTTATATATTGATGTTACGTTGTCTATATTTCACATGTTATAAGGTTTTATATTTATCTATCTTTATTTTTGTGTCAAATTAGAGATTGTTACATTGCTACATGTATATTAGCAATTTAATTAAAGGTAATATTTCTTTTAATCAAATTGAGATTTTATTAAAGGCAATTTCATTATATATATGTTGGATAGCAAAGATAAATCCACTTTTGACTGAAAATCACGAAGTGCCAACTTTTAGTTGATTCTTGTCCTTACATCTCTCAATGACAAGGTGGATCAACCTATTACCTAATAAGGCTATGAGCATGAGTGGAGTCAAATGGAAAATTGATGTAATCAAAGCCGCAAAATAAAGCTGCAAAAAAGAATTAATATAGATGTCAAACTTTTAACATGCGCGCCTTCTTTATTATGGTGAATTAATTTGATTTTTTTAATACTTACTTCACTTTTCTTATTAACCCGTACACTTTTTCTGTTCTAAAAATATTACATCATTTGTACATTTAACACTTTTTATACACACCATATATTATGATTTATACATATATATATATATATATATATATATATATATATATATATATATATATATATATATATAGTTATGTGAAATCTTGTTTAATAATTAATATATACTTTCATAATATTAATTTTTTACAATCCTTACTCTTATACAACTAAAGGTATTTAAATTGAAAATGTGCATTGAAATGCCTAAATTCTCATTGCTTTTATGAGCAGACAACCTATTATTTCAAACAAGAGCAAATAACAATATTCAAACCACACCAAATTAGAAATATTCAAACCAAAACAATCCTCAAAACAAATTAGATCACAACACTTTAAATAAGGTGAAAATAACGTAATTTCAATTTTTGAAAAACAAATACATGGTAAATGAGATGAGGATAGTGGTGGTCTGGTGGCTATAATTAATTTGAAACTATTATACTACCTCCATTGCTTTTCCACTTCTTATGTACGACGTAGTATTATATGAATTTATTACTCACTATCTTCTATAGAGTAGTTATCTATTTGTTTTAATTGTGGATCAAATAATAGGGAGCCAGAGGAGAGGAATAGGGAATATCTACCCTCAAATATCCTCACTTGGCAAGATTCGAACCTTTACACGAACCTCAAGAATTTGAAGTAAAAGCCCTAAAAAATCAAACCTTGTTTTGTCTTTGTTGCAATCTATATACTATTGTTAACAACTTAACATTGTTGGTAGTTTGTGAAAGAATTATATTCCATGAATAATTTCATTGCTTTGCTAGCAATATATACAATATCCCAAGAATAGGCCAAGCCCCTAATTTAGCTATAAACATGGTAACTAAATATTCTAAAGGCTAAACATAAGGTAACTGAAATAGAAACAGAAAACAGAGGACTTGGACGGAGATAGGGTTTAGCGGAAACGAGAGGAAAACCCCTAGCTAACTGATACCATGAAAGAATTATATTCCGTGAATAATTTCATTGCTTTGCTAGCAATATATACAATATCCCAAGAATAGGCTAAGCCCCTAATTTAGCTATAAACATGGTAATTAAATATTCTAAAGGCTAAACATAAGGTAACCGAAATATTCACAATATTATTTACATATATCTTAACAGTTTGGTTTTCTTTTCTATTTTCTTTTCTTAATGTACATTTTAGCACTTGTATAAATAAAAAAGATTCTTTAAATTATAGATCAAATATTATTGGCTATTTTGGGATATGAGTATCTGACTTTACTTCTCAATGATTAGATGGTGGTTTCCACATATGTATGTTGGTTCTTGGCTTCTTGCCTCTACTTTGAATTTCTTTTGCTTAATGCTTTGGTCACGACCTCACGAGTGACTTCACCCTACGTTTTACCTTTATGAATTGATTAGTTAAAATGAACAAAAAAATATTTCTTTCAACTTCTTATGCCAGAAGAAATTTTACTCGTACTCTTTTAATCGATTTAAGAATAAGTACATCGATAATTTTGACCAATACATACAAAGTATATAAATGTACTATTATAACCATTAATTTTCTTAATTGTGCCTAATCCTCAATTTTCTTTGACTAATACATATACAAATAACATCACTGACTAATCCTCAATTTATCTACTTTTTTATTGATTCCTACAATTACAGAGCTAAGTAATGATTCCCCCATCAATTGTAATATTCGGGGACATTTGGTTAGAACAATGAAAACGAAGTTGAAAGGAAACAAATAAGAGGGGGAAAGGAATTATGCAACTATTACCTTTTCATTTGTTTGGTTTAACTATGGAAAGGAATCCCTTCGAGTTAAAGGAGGATAAAGGTATTTGTTACCTTAATTAGGTTTTAGAGTGGTAACAAATGGGTTTATATCCCTTACCCTTAGGTAAAGGTAATTGTTCTTGTAAAAAAAAAAAAAAAAAAAGGTTATTGTTACCAAATCTCTTAACCAAACATTTGATAACGGTAATGGTTTAACCGAATCCGTTTATTTCCAACCCCAAAAATACACTAATCAAACATGCTCTTAGATTGAATTCTTTATGTTCATTCCAAATCAGGGGTTTGAGTTTCAAACATATTTACGAGGAATTTGGGAATAATTAACTTTGTGAGTG